TTCCTCTTGGAGCATCGGTGTTCTCATAGGTAAAGGGAGGATAAAAGTAGTTCCCAACCAGTAGGCTTGCCATGAAGATTAAATGAGATGACAAGGTGAAGCACTTAGCAGGATGCTTGGTAAGTGTTAGGTCTTTTTCACTTGTTCATTTCCTTTCAATCCTTTCACTGTAAGTAGTGTTTTTGTTTTCACGTAGTTGTGATCACACCGTCTATATAATTTTATTTCCTGCTTGTTTCGCTTAACACCGTAACCCAAACTTTTTCCGTGCTATTTTCAACTCCCCATAAACATACATTTTAATGGTTGCATAATATCTAATTGAATGGATACATCACATACATCATAGTTAAGTTAACCATTTCTTTATTGTTAGTCATGGGAATTACTCCAGGTACGTTGTTCCAGGTAAGTCTATGTGTGAATGGACTTAACATGGAATACCTTTCCATGTTAAACGGCACCCTCCTTCTCCCAGTCATGGCCAGTTATAGTGATTTCCTTGGGGAAAATTCTTAGAAGGGAGATTATAAAGTCCAAGGGCATGAACACTTATCCAGGTTTTGACCTATCCTGCCAAACTGGTTCCTGTAGAGTTGACCTCCACTTATATTTTCAAGGCAATGGATGAGACTCAGATGGAGGACCTGGATTTTGTTATGTAGTGCAGTCATTGGGGGTGTCAGGGTTGGAGAAACACAATGAGATGGGATTTTACTGGATTCACGTGGCAGTTGCTGGGAGGGGTTGGAGGTAGGGTTCCTGTTAGAGGGTTATGTGGTAAGACTCTGCACCAGGGCACTGGGGCCATGACTGTTCACGAACCTGGCCTCCTCCACATGGCAACTATTAGTCCTACCTATAGGAGAACCTGTGGTCACAATCTCGCAATCTCGCTTTCTTCCTGTGTTGCTCCATATATGTGAATTTATGTCTTTTCAATCCAGCATAAGTAGCTTCACTTTGTTTCCATTCTCCGTGCTCAAAATGACAAGGACTCTCGACTCAAGATAGTGGGTAAGTCTGTGAGCCCTGGTGTCACCGCCTGCATTGGCATCCCAGCCATTCCACTTGTTAACTGTGATTGTGGACCTCAGTTTCCTAATCTGGGAAATGGTACTGATAGAAGAAATTTCCACATGTTAAGATATGGGGAAGTCATTCTGGCTTATACATGAGTTAACTTGAATTTTATGCTAACTAAAATAGCCTGTTTGTGGCCTATCAAGCATACATTGTACATCTGCTCTAATTATTAAAGAAAAGGCCACAATGACCAGAAGTAAAGAATGTCTGTGTTAAAAACAAAGATTAATGCCCCTCTTCCCAGGATGCCAATGCTGGTACTCCCCAGGTGCCAAGGCCATACTGACTTGCTGTGACGTGCTGGTCTGTTTTTGTTTGTTTGTTTGTTTTAAACCTTGAAGCAATGTATTCCTGACTTGTTAATGTTTTTGTTGTTGACAAGATACAAAACTGCTGAAAGCCATGCTTCTCTGGAGTCTCGGGAGCAGCGCCTTCGAGTAATCTGGGAAGTGGGCTTCTGGGCTAGTGCTCGGTTTGGCTCAAATAAAACTCTTTCCTACTCTCATTATCGATTGTTTATTGGTTATTTATGTTAACAGGACCAATCTCATAGGATTTATCAAACAAAGTATTGTATATACAGCAGACAAAGTACTGCGTGTTTGATATTGTTCTTAAAAATCTTCTTTTTCAGATAAAAAACGAGTTTCTTCTGTATAGCCTGGGGAACTATATTCAGTATCTTGTAACCTATAATGAAGAAGAATATGAAAACGAATACATGTATGTGTAAGTATGACTGAAGCGTTGTGCTGTACACCAGAAATTGACACATTGAAACTGATTATACTTCAATTAAAGAAAACAACAAAAACTTCCTCTTTGTAAGTTAAAGACTCTGGTAGAAGGAAACTAATCCAGCTTCTAGATTCACCTCTTTCCTTCCCTCTAAAACCCAGCAAGGGCATTCGGACTCGGGAGCAATACCAGGAAGCCCACTTGTCAGAAAATGTCCCCACAAAGAATTGTGGGGGTAGGAGGGGAGGAGGCTGGGGAGGCTGCAGTGATGCGTGACCAGCCGTCCTGGGATGCAGTGCTTTCAGTGATGAAACCCGACAGTCCCTGGCAACCTGGGGTGCTTGTTCTCCCTTGCGGAATGGTGATAGGTGACGGCATCTGGTAAAGTTATCCAAGGGGAAAGGACCAGAATCTAGAGTGTTTGAGAAGGGTTCCTTTTTTCCTGTAATTGTTGTTTGGCAAGCCCATTTGGAAACTCATTTCACCTGGAACTTTCAGGGAATGAATTGGCTGCCAGAAATGAGACCCACCTGGGGTGGGGGTGGAGTGGGTGGGGGAGATAATTAAGTGCTTCCCAGGAAGCCGGGGCCAGGCAATTTAGTATCTTCCAGATTGTAAGGGCGTGAGTGGAGTGAGCTTGTCTCGGAGTGAAGGCTGTGAGCACCTCCCAGTCCTGGCCAGTTTTCTGCTCTCGTGAAGCCTTCTTTCTTGGCAGGAAGAGGGGGTCAGCAGCCCTCCATGGAGGAGGGTTGTTTCCAGCTTCTACCCAGGTACAGTCCCCATCTTCTGGGTCTCTGTATGACAGTACCCGCCGGGCAGAGGCCGAGGGAGGGGAAAGTGGCCATGATTAGGCTGCGGGCCAGTGGAGGGGGTGGTCAGTATTTGGTATTTCCTCTTCCAGCTCTTTCAAAGCCTTTTTAAATCGGATTAGCTTTTCGACAAACACTTGAAGGTTTGCTCTCCCCTGAGAGGCTCAAAGGGCTGAGGAAGAGCCTTCATCTGTTTACTTTTCCTTTATGTGGAAACCTACTTGGGCCGTTTCTCCAAACAGCTTCCCCTCCCCCCAGCTTTCGAGCAGGCTGGAATTCAGCAACTGCTGGCCCCTGACTCTGTGACTTTCAGGTCTGATGAACCTTCCAGGATCCCAGCTTTGAGCAGTGGAGCTCAGGCAGCTCACTCTGCCCTGCGCGGGCCTTGTGAGCTTGCGGGGTCGGGGGTGGCCTGTGGGCGCCATCACCCTCTTGCAGGGCAGCCAGAAGAAGTGGCCTGTTTGCTCCTAGGTATGGAGAGAGCTAGGAAGATGGAGGCAACGCTGGGCTTGGTTTTGGGGAGCCGAGAGCTGTCGCTCGGCCCAACAGGGTTCCTCTTCCTCTCTCTTTCTAACTAGGCCCCTGCTAAGGGTCAGGCAGTGTATGTGCTGGGAAGAGTGGGGAGCAGGGACCTGTGAACATGCGTGTGTGTGTGTGGAATACACATAGAGGAAACCAGACTGGAGGTGGGGGGCACAGTGGAGGTGTGGAAGGGAAGGAGGCAGGTGGTTGAGACAGACCTCTGTGCTTTATTCTGTATATCAGTATGTTATACAGCTAATAAGTTAAAAAGTACATATTAAATAAACCAGAGAATTACCTCTGTGATCAGTATGATCATGGCTAGAGTAAGTACAGGGCCAGGAAGATTCCGACTTCCATAAGGGGGTGGCAGGTAAACCGAGAGCCAGAGACAAGTGGGGATAGCTAGATTTGTACATTCAGCCAAGATTTGAGGCATGTCTGCTGCGTGTCAGATACTCTTCTAGAAGCTAGAAAGCTGGAGGAGAGGAAAACAGAGACTCCGCCCTTGTGGAGCTTACAGGCCAGTGGAGCGAGATAGGTGAACAGAAAGGTCCTATGATGTGAGGTGGTGTTACTGAGCCATTCCTCTGACGCTTGTTAAAATGGTAGGGCAGCCTGGATTGGAGATGAGTGCAATAGAGAAAAGAGACTGAGCTCAACTCTGAGCACAGCGAAGACAGCTGGGGCCTTAGAGCCCACCAGCAGTGCGAGGGGGTCAGTGGATGTGGAGACATCAAGGGTAGGGGATTTTTGCCGGAGGCAGGCCAAGGACTTACACATCAAATTTGGGGAATGAGGAACCTGATTAGATATCAAGGGTGGCGGGCGACTTAGCAGGATTCTTGGCTGAAGGCAGGTCAAGGTCAAGGCCTCCTTGAGAAGAGAGTTTAGAGGAGCCTGATTCAAGTTTGGCCAAGGAGAGAGCCACTGGTGATGAAAGGTGCTGTAAATGAAAATAAAGCAGGTGTGGGTTAGAGCAGCGAGAGAGTGATGGCGAGTGATGGGGTACTGTTTGTGAGCAAGGCCCCTGGGGGGAGGTAATTTTCAGGCAGAAATCTCCATCACCATAGGGAGCCAGAATTTCAAACACCCTAAGAGAAGGTGCTCCAGGGATAGGGAACAGTAAGTGCAAAGGCCCTGAGGGTTGCTGTTGGGTAACAGCAAGGGGGACGTCATGTGTAAGGTCAGAGGAGGGGTGGGTGACGGTAGAGCACAGAGAGTCCAACAGGACGTGATAGGAAGTGATGACAGGGCTGGAAGAAAGGAGAATTTGGAGCCTGGTAAGAGAGAGCTTTGGTCATCTGGAGACCTGCAAGGGGTTCTGTGTTGCCCTGGTGTACAAGGTGGCAAAAACAAAGGAGGTGGCTGGGGGTGGGGGTAGAGGAGAGGAAGGTGAACAGCCAAAGGGGTGGGGGCAGATCAGGCGGGTCCTTTTCCATCTTTTCAGGCAGGTTTCTCAATCATTTACATGAGAGCCTCCGTCCTTGCGTAAAAATCAAGCAATACAGGGAGGAAGGACTTCTCGTTTAATTGCAAGGAGAGCTCCAGAAGATGGAAAGTGGGTGTGGGTTGAAATAGAGCTGGAGCTGGCCTAGCTCGGCCGGCTGCCCTGCGTAGAAATAGCACCCTCCCAGTCTCAGAAAGGCCTGGGTTATGGTGATTGCAGTACTGGGCACCGTCCTTCCTGTTGAGATGTGCGGGTGTTGGCTGCGTGTGTACATCTGCATGTGCGAAGTGCCTGGAAGCCGGGGTGAGGGTGCAGGACAAGAAGTTCAGGCAGCTGAGCCCACTCCTTTTCCCCTTGGGGGTGGCCCAACTTCCTCTGGGGGCCTACGCATCCGTCCGCTGGTCTTAGGCTGAGGAATCTGCAAAAGTCATTGGCCAGGCTTAGAACAAATCCTTGCTGCCAGAGGGGCTGGCGGTGTGGTGTCGGGGGGTAGGGAGCTCCTTGTTGCTTGAACCAGGATGCCCTTCGCTAGTGGTGAACCCTGCTGAGCATGGGGTTTGTTTGAGGAGGGGGGGAAAGGGGATGCAGCAGCCAGGGTAATGCGGCAACATGTGAGTTAACAAGCAGATGAAAACCCACAGAGTAACCAGACATTCTTCTCTTCACGTGCAAGCTGCTGAATGTTGGAAGAGGAAGGAATATTTTTCTTGCTTTTTAGACATTACATCCTGTGAGGGGAAGATTTGGAACAGATGGGGGCTGGGGGCCCCATTGTATTTGCTTGTTCCTCGTCCCCACTTCCCACAACCAGATATATATATACATTTTTTTTTCTTTCTTTTTTTTCCCTTCTACCTAGTGAAGTTAACTCAAAAAAAAAAATTTATATTGAGTAGGAAAGTAAGATATCAGGGGTCAGGGAGAAAAATCCACAAGGTTCCAGAAAGAATTCACTTTACTTGGCAAAGCCTTCCTCTAAGTCCAAAGACATATAATTAACTCAGAATTTCATTTCAGGTTTGATTGCTGCTCCATTGCTGCATTCATGAGGGGGTTAAGAAAAAGGATCCCTAACCAGATGGAGAAAGAGGCTCTCTGGGTAGTGAAAGGTAAGGAGTGTTTCTGAAGTCCTAGGCACACTATGTGGGAGAAACAAAAGTGGTCATGTCTTGTGGAAGCCACTTGAGTGCCTACACCGTTTCCAAGCCCACTTCTGTTCTGCTGGATGGGCTGCCTTAGAGAAGACCGTAGGAGAAGTGATGTCTAGTTGGCCGTGTTACATTTGATGGGCTGCAGTGGGGCTCCTGGTAGACTGATGTCCTGAGCATGGCTGTGGGCAGTTGGACGGCTGGAAGGATTTTAGCCCCCAAACCATAGTTGGTCCTTTATGCTGACGAATGTCCTGAGCAGGATTCTCCTTCTTCTGAACCCAGAAGAGGGCTCTGCCAGTGGGGTCGGATGGCAGTCATGAGCTGGGATGGGCCAGCTGACCTGCCTGCTGCTGTTGGATCTGTTCCCCCGGGGGAATGCGGGCTGATTCCATCTGAAAAGGAGAGGGCAGGAGAGGGGGAGAGCAGCCTCTGTATTTCCCTTTTCCCTGTCCTTCCTTTCTGGCCTGTTGGAGCCTGGGTTGGGCTGGTGTTTTCCTTCTCAGGAGGGGATTGGGTGCTCCTGGATTTGGTCAAAGAGACAGGTTACCAGCCTGGGTTCCCATTCGATACGGAGAACCATGTCTAGGGGTGGAAGGGGCAAGGAAATCAGGTTCCTTTGCATCTGATGAGATACATGCAAGCTTCTACAAGAAAGGCGTACCTTAAAAATCACTTGACAAGAGAGGAATTTGACCAATGCACGTGCCTAGCTAGGACGGGGTCTCCTGTCTTGACTCTCAGTCATAGCTTCTCGAACTAGACCTGTAACTAGACACAGTGCGGTGGGGGCACTAGGCTCACCCTCCCTCTGCTGTTAAAATCCCCGCAGGCGTGAACTGGCCATTGCAAAGGATGCTGGCGGAGGAGCAAACGGTGCCTGAGTGCCGTTCCTTGCTGGGCACTGCCTCTCGGACTTCAGGGGACATGTCAGTGGATGGAGTACAGATCCCACTCCCACAGAGCCCAGGTGCAAATATAAGAGCATTTAACTCATTGTGGAA